GGAAAGCATTTATGTAAACTACTTGGATTGGACAACTTAAAATAATATTAAGGCTAGTTTGATTAGATATAATCATAAATAATGGTTTCAGTGGTTTCTTTTCAACAGAAAACTTCTTGTACTTATATGAAAATAAGAGAAGCGGAGCCACAGAGTTGATTTTTCCCTAGTATAAAGGAGTTAGAACACATTTAAAATGTGTTCAGTTTAAGATATCACATTTTATGAAAACTGACAAAACTAGAATGTGTCAAAGAAATCATATACTATGAGGATTAGAAAAATAAGCTGGGAATGTTTAACTTGGGAAAAAAGTGTTTGGAAGAATATAACAGAATCTTCATTTGCTTGAAGAGTTGGTGTGCAGAATAGAATATAGACTTATTCTGAGTAGTTCCAAAGGTTAGAAGAAGGACAAATGTCTGGAAATTCCAGTGAGATGCTCTTCAGTTCAAAATAACATAGCCCTATCTAAAATAATTAAAGCTGCCCCTGAGCTTTCTCACAAAATATTGATTTCCCCATTGGAAATTTTGAAGAGGACCCTATATGGCCATCTAGCAGCAATGTTGTTGAGAGATTCTTGCTTTGGGTGGGAAACCAGACCAGGTCAAAGTGACTTTGTAAGCATGGTCTGCAACCTACTATGAGGTAGGTTGTGGTTAACCTATGAGATGTGATGGTTAATTTTATGTGTCATCTTGACTGAGCCATAAAGTGCCCAAATAGTTGGTTGAATATTATTCTGGGTGTGTCTGTGAGGTTGGTGCTGGATGAGATTAACATTTGAATCAGAAGACTGAATAAAGCAAGTTGTCCTATCTACTATGGGTAGCCCTTGTCCAAACAGTTGAAGGCCTGAATAGAACAAAAGACGGACCCTCCCTCAAGTGAGAGGGAACTTCTGTCTGACTGCTTTGAACTGGGACATTAATCTTTTCTTCTTCCAGTCTTGAATTGAAACATTGGCTGTTTTGGGGTCTTGAGCCAGCTGTTTTTCAGAGTGGAACTTACACCATCAGCTGTCCTGGTCCTCAGGCGCTCAGGCTCAGACAAACTACACATTGGCTCTCCTGGGTCTCCAGCTCATTCCCTACAGATCTTGGGACTTCTCAGCCTCAATTATTGCATGAGTCAATCTTTTTTTTTTTCCTCTCTCTCTGTTGGTTCTGTTTCTTTGCAGAACACTATGACATGGGCTGAGAACTTCTCCCAAAGCAAGTTCTTATAGGTAAACTGAGTATGTTCTCTAGATTATCCTTTTTACTTCCTGCTGGGCTTTGAGAATGACTAGAATTATGGTTCTGCTTCAATTTTTATGGTTTTGTTCATCATCACAGAGTTCTTTTTCCTAGAAAATTGAAACAGGTAAGCTACAGGGTCTTTTGCCCTATCCCCAAGAATCACGGTAAACAATTTTTTTTTTTTTTAAAGAAATTCTCTCAAGAAAACCACTTCAAAAGTCTCCTACAACTTTAAAATCTCATTATTACATTTACTTATTGCTTCCAATTGTTTTTCTTCCTTTGGGACTTCTAGCTGTACTTTTTGTGCTCAAAAAAATAAAAGATAAAGTTTAAGCACAAAGAATCAGAAGTAGACTAGAAGGAACAGAGTTACAGATTGTATTTTTAAACAACAATAAAATGGTTATTTTTAAATAACCATTTCAAAAATATAGACACATTTGGGATTTTGACTTCAAGTTTCATTTAATGAAATTTAGCAAATAAAAGAATGCTAGTATATTAAACACCTACGTGTAGTTAAATTTTTAGTTTAACATTGAGGAACCTCATGTACATTCAAAAGGAACAGATAATTCTAATCTCATTCTCTTTGACAGTGATTAGTTTGTGGCTCATAGCAAGAACAAAGGAGAAAATGAAACTATTATTCTGTGCTTTATAAATCTACTCCACCCTGATGACTTCTGCTGAGCATGGAGGTGGAACCGGTGAATAGTGGTACACAGATAACATTCCAGTTGCTATATTTGTGCACACACACAAGGGTGTGCCCACAATTTTCTATCTAGGTTCAAGGGCAAATTAGAAGATTCCAGACTTAATACCAAAAAAGCACTATAAAAATCAAAATCCAAGATAGCATTATGTAGTACTTATGAGAAGCCATACGGAATGAACTATTGAATAAGTTAAAATCCAAATTTCATCAAATTGTATAACTGCAGAATATAATCATTTAGTAAACTGTATTGAGCTTTAAAAATATGTACTTTCTTGTTTCAGGGTGATTTGCATAGAGTTGCCTACTGTCATTATTTTAAGTTTGAGTCTTTCAGTAGAAAAATAAAATTTTTATTCCTTTCTAAAATGTTGGTATTTATACCAGTGCAAATTGACTCTAGTGGTTTGCTTTCTATCAACAATTACGTGACATATCCAATTTCTTCTCAGCCTCATGCTCTATGAAAATGTCAAGTATTCTCTGTATCATGGGCTATACTGTCTTCAATGCTTCTCTGTTATCTTCCATGTCTCCAAATTATGAGGTTTACTTAATGTCATAGTTTTTCCTTTCTTTGGGATTGTCAGGATCCTCTCCTTTATTCACTGTGGTCAATAGAATAATGTTCGTTGCCCTCCCCAATGTTGTCTATGTCCTACTCCCTGGAACCTGAGACTATGTTAGATTATATAGGGAAGGAATGAATGTTGGAAATGGAATTAAGGTTGACAATCAGCTGGCTTTAAAATAGGAAGTTATCCTGGATTATCCTATAATCACAAGAATACTTAAAAGTGGAAGAGGGAATTGGAGAACCAGAGAAATGGCAGTATGGGAAGGGCTTGGCCTGGTATTGCTGGGTTTGAAGGTGAAGGAAGGAGGCCATGAGCCAAAGAAATCAGGCAGCCTCTAGGCTACACCCTGCTGACACTGATCTGAGCCCAGTAAGATTCATGTTGGACTTTTGAATTCAATAAAGAACTCTAAGATAATACACTTTTTGTTGTTTTAAGTCATTAAGTTTGTGGTAATTGATCACAGCAGCAATAGAAAACTAATATATTTGGTTTTTGTTGTTATTGTTTGTTTGCTTTTCAAGATGTAGTCTCACTCTGTTGCCCAGGCGGGAGTGCAATGACGAAACCTTGGCTCACTGAAATCTCTGCCTCCCGGGTTCAAGCAATTCTCCTGCCTCAGCCTCCCTAGTAGCTGGGACTATAGGCGCGTGCCACCATGCCTGGCTAATTTTTGTATTTTTAGTGGAGACGGGGTTTTACCATGTTCCCCAGGTTGGTCCCAAACTCCTGACCTCATGTGATCCACCTGCCTCGGCCTCCCAAAGTGTTGGGATTACAGGAGTGAGCCAGGGTGCCTGGACCTAATATATTTGTTTTGTTTTTGGCCTTTCCTCTGCACTGATTCCTTTTCTGTTGAAATCCTTAATAGCCTTCAGGCCAAATCCAAGGATCATAGAACATGTTCACCCTCCCTTGACTCCTTTATTTCTGTCAAAAAAAATTAATTAAGGAAACCACTGAATAACCCTGAAATCAACAAAGGTGCCATTGTTATAAAGGTATAAAGGTATGCAACTTTTAAAAATTGACTTAGAAACAAGGACATAAGTGAAATGCCATTTGCCTATAGTTCTAAAGCCTTTCAATAATTTCTTTAATGCCTGTAAAATATTCAGCACAGTACCCTAGGGAAGTTAAAAATTGGGACAATACATATGGCAAAGTTCTTGGGAATACACAGAAGGCACCTGCGTTGATCAAGTGACTGCTGACAAGAGAAGACATAGGGATTGAGAGAGACAGGAAGTGAAGAGCAGATGGAGCAGGAGATAGAGAAAGTTTAAGGGATGATTTCTGAGAAAGAAGAAAAAGAAAAGGATAGAAAACAAAGAGAGGAAGAGAATGTGGCAAAGATAAGATCTCTCAGGAGATCTGGTCTCTTGACCATAATAACCACCGAACAAGTATTTACAGAATGACTGATTTGAGGGACTGTGATTTCTTCCAAGAGGAAAGCCAGGAAATTAGCTAATTCTATTTAACATACATTTTAGACATGATTAGAGTCTAAACAAAATTTTACATTTTCTAGGATTTCATTCTATATTACAGAAGTTTATTAATTATGTATGAATTCTCAGTAACTACTGATAAGGGATCTACCAATGCTTTCCTTCAGAAAGCATTCAGATTTGGAGTGTAAACAAATGCTTTTAATTACTCTTTCACTCATTACATAAAAGACTTTGGGCTTGTAACTGAAGAAGTTATATAATTAAAACAACCAATACTCATTCTGACTATTATTTGATTGTCAGAAATACTGAGTCAGTGTTCATTTTATACCAAAGTCAAGCCTGACATGAGCTTAATAATTAAGTCAGATTTAAAAATCCTTCCCATCACTGTAGAACATATAGACAATTTCAGTCCAGTATGTCAGAAATCTCGCTTTGAGAAAAGCTGTCACCTTTTCTATGTACTCCGGCCCTCCAGCCCCTTTAATGTGCTATCCAAGAAAGCAGTGAAGGAGAATCACAGGATCTAATTGTGCTATAGACGGGGAGAATAACCAGGCCAGAGATCGGGAGGACTGGAGGCCCCCAGGGGAAGAGCTGCGGGAAAAGGGAGACCCCATAGATAATGTGATGAAATATTTGGAAAGCATTAGGAACATCTGGGTAGAAAATTAGATAAGTGAAACAATAAGGCAGATACCAAAGCCAAACAAAAATCTTTAAAAGGAAATGCAGTCATACTTCTCTATTAAGCCGTAGAGTGAATCATATTTACATCACCATCATGTGGGAACACTGTTATTATTTTATCAGAAAGTAATGATGTTATCAAACTGGGAGAATGGGGAAAGTTGGGAGGGTTGTAACAGAGACAAATCTTCGTTATACGTTTATCAGAAAATAATGATGTTATCGAATTGGGAGAATGGGGAAACTTGTGGGGACAGTGATAACAGAGCCAAATCTCTGTCTGTCCAATTGTCTATCAAAACAGGAAATCAACGGATTGGAGCCTACTGGGCTTGAGAGGCCCGCTGAGGAGCCGGGAGGTTGAGATGCAACTACGGCCGCACTCCCTCCGGGTCGCCGGCCACACGGCGAGCGGGGCGACGCCGAAGCAGCCCACGGAGCGGAGGCGACGCTGCTGAGCCCGGTTCCCCAAAGCGGCCACGCCACTCCCCGCTTCCCTGCCCGGCTCCGGGCCCCAGGCCCGCCGCTTCAGACGCAGACCCCACCGCGACCCTGCAGCAGCCTGCCCCGCCTGGCCGCCAGAGGCACCTTCCAACTCCGAAGCACGTTTTTCAATACATAATAGAATCATTATCAGAGGTGGACACATTTAGAAGTTGTTCTTAATCAGAAGGCAGCTTGTGCTTAGGAAAACCAGCCTCAGTCCTCAGCACTCAGCACCCAGTGCTCCAGGTTTCTCCTGAGTGAAGATGGACCAGCCCCCCTTGGCCCTCCGGCAAGCTGGAACAGTATGTACACGTCTCTTTAACTATGAAGAGAAGATTTGGGAGGAGTATGAGCAAATCCTCAATACCAAACTAGCAGAGCAACACGAGTCGTTTGTGAAATTCACACATGATCAGATTATGTGACCATGTGGGACAAGCCCAACAAACTATGTGTCTTGAAGCTTTTTGTTGCAGATCTTGGTATCAGGTTTGACCTCAAGGCATGGTTGCTGTACATTTTTTGCAACTGTTTGATATCACATTTCAGCTCCAATTTTGCATCCTGAGAACACTCCAATGTTTCTGCAGGTCCATTTTATACGACTTGAAAGACCTTAAAGCTTTCTGGTTGCCATAAGTATGTCTTTCTCTTCTGTTCATCCAATAAATAGCCATACCCTACTGTGACAGAGTTTTCCAAACAAAAACCTGGAGCAGCAGTTTAGCAAAACACGCCTTTAGCAGCACTCAACAAATGGAGTTTCCCCAAGCACAGTTCTGTAAGAGAAATGTGTGTGAGAGTGTGTCTGTAAGTGTATTTCAGATTATGGTTTGTTTGTATTGTGCAGATTTTTTTGATCTTGGGCATTCTGGCTGTGGATTTGATGCAGAAAATTATGGTTAAAAACATTTGGTCTACAGAAAAACTTTAATTTTTTGTGACTATATAAATTGTAACAGTGGATTGTTTTATGTGTAGGTATTATTGTTAAATACAGGGACTGTTTCCAGGCGCAAAATAGGAATCATAAATCAGGATGCAGCCTGGATACATAGGCTCATATCTATAATCCCAGCACTTTGGGAGGAGGCCAAGCTGGGCGGATCACTTGAGGAGAGCTGGAGACCAGCCTGGCCAACATGGAGAAACTCTGTCTATACTAAAAATACAAAAATTAGCTGGACATGGTGGCAAGTGCCTGTAATCCCAACTTCTTGGGAGACTGAGGCAGGAGAATCACTTGACCCAGGGAGGCAGAGGTTGCAGTGAGCCCATATTGTGCCACTGCACTCCAGCCTGGGTGACAGAGTAAGACCCCATCTCAAAAAAAAGAAAAAAAAAGAAAGAAAAAGTGAGGACAGCCATTGCCTGTGGTTATGGCAATACAGTGAAAGTCTGTTGTCTTAGATATACAAATATATAGTGAGAAATTAGAACAAGCTGGAGACCGGCGTTTGACACATGGACTCTGCCTAGCTGTGTTAGAAAAATATTTCTAACCAAGCCTTAAAATTCCCAAATGGAGTTGGTGCTTACCTCATTCACACAATCAAAGAGTTCACTGGGTCCTGAACCTCTAAAGGGAAAAGGTCTCCCCTGGAGCAGGAGTATCAGGGTTTGCTCGGGGGCATAACACAGGTGAGTGCTGGGCTGAGACAGGCTCCAATGGCACTGCTAGTTGCAGGAGCACTTTACCTTTGTATCAGTTATTAAAAACAAAATTTGAATCCTTTGGTTAGGTTCCCCGAAATTATTTTGAGGTAGCCATGTTTAAGTGCTTGAGCTTTTGTGTTGGCAACCCCCTGCCCAAGGTTGCTAATAGGGTATTCTGCCCCTTGTTTCCATGGCTGAGGCACAGAAAGTAGCCTCTTTTGTGAGGAGTTGGGAGTTAAGTGTACATTTATTTTTTTACCGTGATTTGTTCAGGACCACATTTTACAAGATACCTTGTTTTATTATTGTTTCTGGAAAGTCCTATTCATATTAATTTATTTGAATATAGAACATAGTTTTTTGTTTTTTTTTTTTTAATGAGGGCTTATGTTGAAAAATTCTGAGCTTAATTCAAATGTATGTCAATACCTTCCCACATAAGGTAATAGTCAAAGACAGATGTTCCGATCAAATGGCTTAGAAATAGTCCTGGAATATTCACATTCAAAGATCCCTTATTAATGAATGTCTTTAACTTAAATCTACCCAATAATTGCAACATGGGCCTTTGTACATTTTCATTATATGGTATTAACAAGCTTCACTGCAAACAAATAAATTACTTAAGTTATTTGTTTACCTTGCCTTCTTAAAAAAACAGGAAGTCAACAGATAACTTCTAAAATTGATAAAATAGGCTGGGCGTCATGGTGCATCCCTGCAGTCCCAGTGCTATGGGAGTTCAAGGTAGGTGGATTGCTTGAACCCAGGAGTTTGAGACCAGCCTGGGCAACATGGCTAAACTTCGTCTCTACAAAAAGTACAAAAAATTAACCAGATGTGGTGGTGTGTACCGGCAGTTCCAGGTACTTGGGAGGCTAAGATGGGAGGACTGCTTGAGTCCGGGAGGTGGAGGTTGCAGTGAGCCAAGATGGCACCACTACACTCCATCCTGGGCAACAGAGACTGACCCTGTCTCAAAAATAAAATAACACTGGTAAAATAAGAAATGACCATGTAAGCCTATTATTGAGAAGGATGAAGATAAATACTAGAAGAAACAGATACCAAAGCCAAAAATACTTGCCTTGGAGAGAGGGATTTTTCAATATTATTTGATTTTTTAATTTATGTGCATCAATGCTGAACAATGAATACCCTCACCTAAAGACGTTTATGTCCTAAACCCCAGAACTTGTGAATATATTACTTTAAAGGCAAAAGGATTTGGCACATGTGATTAAGTTAAGGATTTTGAGATGGGGAAATTCTCCCGGATCATTTGGTAAACTCAACGTAATCACAAGAGACCTTCTATGAGGCAGACAGGACAGTCAGAGTTGGAAAGGAGATACGATGATGGAAGCAGAAGACGGAGTGATGAGACTGCTGGCTTTGGAGATGGAAGAGGGCCACAAGTCAAGGACTGAGCAGCCTCTAGAAGCTGGAAGAAGCGAAGAATAGTATTCTCCCCTAGAGCAGTGGTCCCCAACCTTTTTGGCATCAGGAACTGGTTTTGTGGAAGACAATTTTTCCATGGACGGGTGGCTAGTGGGGATAGTTTTGGGATGAAACTGTTCCGCCTTAGATCATCAGGCATTAATTAGTTACATTCTCACAAGGAGTGCACAACTTAGATCCCTCACATGCCCAGTTCACGATAGGGTTTTGCTCCTATGAGAATCTAATGCCACTGCTAAACTGATGGAAGGTGGAGCTCAGGTGGTAATCCTGGCTAGCCCACTGCTCACTTCCTGCTATACCATCTGGTTCCTAACAGGCCACAGACTTATACGGGTTCATGGCCCAGGGGGTTGGGGACCCCTGCCCTAGAGCCTTCAGAAGGAACACAGTCATGCCAATCCATTTTAGACTTTGGCCTCTACAGCTGTAAAATAAAACTTTTTTTGTTGTTGTTTTAAACCACTAAATTTGTGTTAATCTACTATAGCAGCAATAGGTGACATATTTAGAAAATAAAACCACCAGTTGTAGAATGTTAAATAAGAAAAATAAAACATGGTAAGACATGAATTATAGAAAACATGCCATCTGCTGACAGAGTAATTCAAAATGAAGGAATAATCTGAATTAGAAAGGGATGACAATTTCAATATATTCATCACGGTTTTGTGAATACTCATGATGCATTAGGACAAAGTTAGGTAACTTAGTTAGTCCCTTGTGAGTCAATGCGTAACCACATTCCAGTATTATTTACCACATATACTTTTTCTTATTCCCACCTCCCTTTTCTTCTTTCCCATTCCTCTGTGTATCATCTCTGTTCCTGTCACCAATATTCTGTTGGGGTAGCCACCTGGCTCGCATTACAATGATTCTGTCATATCCTGGAATTGTCCCTGTATCAGTCAGAGCTCTCCAGACACAGATACATAGCTATAGCTATAGCTATAGCTGTCTAGATTTATTTTAATGAATTGATTCACATAATTGTGAAGACTGGCAAATTCAAAATCCATAGATCCACAGGGCAGGTTGGAAGCTCTGCAGGAGTTGACACTGCAATCTTGAGGCAGAGTTTCTTCTTCTCCAGGAAACCTCCGTTTTTGCTTATGAGGCCTTCAACTGATTGGATGAGGTCGACCTACACTATTGTGGGTATTCTCCTTTACTTAAAGTGAACTGATTGCAGGTGTTAACCACATATGCAAAATGCCTTCACGTCCATACTTAGAGTTTGATTAAATAGCTGGTTACCACAGCCCAGTCAAGTTGATGCATAAAATTAACCATCACCTGCCCTTTGAGGGGTGGGTGGCAAGCATCGTGGTTGTGCCCCGTGACTGTGTCTCCTGGCTCATAGATCACTAGTCTAAGAGTGGACACATGACTCCCACCAAACCATTCAGAGCCCCAACCCAGGATTTACTAAGGAAACTGGAAAAACAAAACCAAAAGACATCTAGCCCTCTCTGGTGTGGTGGCAGCCATGAGGTATGAGGACTGGGAGATATCAGTGACCATATGGACAGTCAGTCATTCTGAAATGGAGGAGACTGAAGCAAACCTACAGAAACAGAGACAAGATTTGGAGGAAGAGTCCTAGTTCCAGTTATCACTGAGGCCCAGATATACTCCCGCATTTTCAGTTGTTGAATTTTTTTCAGTTGTATGATCTGCTGTCTTATGATTCCCCTCCCCACCCCCTTTTGATTAACAAACAGTGTCTTGCTCCAATGCCCAGGCTGGAGTGCAGTGGTGCAGTCATAGCTCACTGTAACCTTCAACTCCTAAGCTCAACCAGTCTCTCATGCCTCAACCTCCTGAGTAGCTGGGAGTACAGCTGCGGGTCCTCCTGCTTGGCTATTTTTTTTTTTTTTTTTTTTTTTAATAAATGAGGCCAGGCACTGTGGCTCACACCTGTTATCCCATCACTTTAGGAGGCCAAGGTGGGCGGATCACTTGAGGTCAGGAGTTCGAGATCAGCCTGGCCAACATGATGACACTCCATCTCCACTAAAAATACGAAAATGACTTGGGCATAGGGGCGTGCGCCTGTGGTCCCAGCTACTCAGGAGGTTGAGGCAGGAGAATTGTTTGCACCCAGGAGGTGGAAGTTGCAGTGAGCCGAGATCGCACCACTGCACTCCAGCCTGGGTGACAGCGTGAGACTCCGTCTCAAAAACAAAAACAAAACAGGTTGTGCTATGTTGCCTAGGCTAGTCTCAAATTCCTGGCCTTAAGCAATCCTCCCACTTAGCCTCCCAAAGTGCTGGAATTATAGGCATGAGCCACCACACTGGTCTTTTATTCCCTTTTTAAATTTGAAGGGATATTTTTCTCATCATCCCTTAGCTAGATAGAGCTGGTTTTATGTCACCTGCAAGCAAAAGAGTCTCAACTAAGAGGGTATGATATCATTGGGTTATATACAAATGTTTATGTTTCCCTCTCCTTCCAGATATATGGTTTGATTATCCACTTTGAATAGGCATGACATGTGGCTTGCTTTGTCAATGAATTATGAATGCAAGTATGTCACTTTAATGGCCAGTGCAAGATTTGCCATGTTCTATGTACCTGGCAGTCACCTGCAGT